CTTACTTACTTACTTATTTACTTACTTACTTACTTACTTACTTATTTACTTGCTTATTTATTTATTTGCTTATTTATTTATTTATTTACTTATTTACTTAGAGAATATGCAGATTCATATCGTGGCATGTTTTTTCAAGGTCTTGTGAGCTGAAAAGGTTGTTTCAGACTCTTATTTTGAAACTGTGAAAGCAGATGCAGTAAACCAGCCGTGGCTCTTTGAGAAGCGGAGGAGTGGAGCCGGCAGGCTGGCCACAGTCGCGCGCAGCTTTCTCTGTGAAGTTCAGCCCCTCGCGGAGCCGCTTCTCTTCTCTTGAATTTCCACGAGGAAAAAAAACGTAGATTACAAATATCTTGTACTTTTTTTTAACTCTTTGACCCTAGCACCGTTTTACCATCATTATTATTTAGTTAGGGACTCACAGTAGGTGACGAGCAAACGMATTCCTCGGTTACTTTGTGTCTTGCGCCTGTCTGGTGTCGGATAACTCTTTGAAAGCCATTTTTGCACAGAGCAGAGCGACACTTTCAGAGTGAAACTTTCTGGTTGAAGAGGASAAGATGGTTGGTTGTGACTGACTCAGTATTGTGGACAGCCGGATGGAAGCTGATAAAATGCTCAAGCTGCAGGTCGGGGGGTTAATAACAACAATGTCAGCGGTGGCTCGTTTTGGAAAATGATTACTGGAAGCACCGACGATAAAATATGGTCAGAAGATGTCTATTAACGTTCAAACCGTTCAGGTAAGAAAACTATCATCTGTCTTTAGCTTTTAGTTTCTAATCATTCATCTGTTTTGAAGGATGCCAGTTCACTTATTGACTAACATTATTAATATAAACCAACTTTGCTTTACAAAGCCCCATAATTTGGAACGTCCTTGATATAAACCTAAGCTGACTATGTGCTGAATTAAGATATAGTTTATATCTATAGTATCTATTATAGTGTATACGGAAAAGGATCAAATGAAATGTTAAACAGCTGCCAGTGGCTCATTAGGGTCCCCTTGGTAACCACACACCTGTGTCTGACTCTTAAGAAGACATGTAGACAAAAGGCAACGAAAATAAGCTTCAAATTTAGTGAAAAATGTATAAAAAATAAACTCMTGTCTTTAAAACAGAGGTCTTCACTGTTCCTCCTAACCCACTATCCTGAATGTTTTAAACGTGTCCCTGCTTCAGCACACCTGATTCAAATAATCCAGTTACCCACTCAGAATGTCAACAGAACCCTGTCAATCACAAGTTCTTCAGTCAGGTGCATTGATGCAGGGAAGCAACTATAGCWTGCAGAACAGTGGGGTCACGAGGAACAGGGTTGAAAATCTCAGGTCTAAAGTGTTTTATGTTTGAAATACATCAAATTAAAAAGACCCATGGGAAGAAAAGCTTTGTTACAATGGAAGTTGATGAGTTTGATAAAACATACTGTATTTTGAGTGATTTGAGAGAAAACCTCAAGTGACGAGAGACGTACTGAGGTGAAGAACAAACATGTCCATGTTTTGATGTATGTTCAGTATAAAAAGTATAAAGTTTGTAGCATTATGAAAGGTTGGTTTACAACAAAATTTGTCACGTGCAGCTCAAACGTTAGTGTAACTTCTTCAAGCCATGACTTAAACTGTGCTTGTCTAAAAAACATTAATAAAGTACCACTTTGGTGAAATTAAAATTTCTTTGACTTAAACTTTCTGTAATGCTCCTATGTTAAAGTATGCTTGAGTTGTAGAGCTCCAGACAGGACTCTGTTTTCACATAGATATTTCTAAGAAAATGTTTGCACTGTTTTTCTCATTTTGTGCAATGCTGCTACCAAAAAAAAAAACAAAAAAAAAACACATAGTCTCCAACCAATTCACACATTTCACAGTGTGTGTCTTGGGTTTTCTAAAACTGTGGGAGGAGTAGTGAATTGAAACGTGTAAAATAAAAATAATAGGTGACCATAGTAGTAAGGGTACATACGCTTGTGCATTGGCACAATGAATTACATGTGTATCAAAACTGATACAACTGAGTGCATTAACATGTGTTATAATGCAAAATGGTGTATTGAAATGCAGAGCAATATGGAGACGGGATGCACACCAGATGTTTCTCGCCTTCACCCAGATAATTTAGATCTCAGTSTACGTGGCGTCAGTCAACAAACACATATAAATCTGGAAACGGCTGTCATCCTGTGAATAAGGCTGGGCTAGCAGTCAGCTGAACASCCACTTAGTTTCTCACTGCATGGACAGCTCCATCTTTTCTGTGGAGCCGTGCAGTCTGAGGACATAAATTTGGACCTGGAGTGKATTTTAAACACATCTCAACCACAGAAAAAGTTAAATTATACTGTATTATACAGCCCATTTGATATTATGCATTTTTTAAATGACAGATCAGCCCCAACACAAGATTTATTATTGATCATTTTAAAAGAACACCTGACCAAGTGAACCATCATGTTCTGAGTTGCAAGGTAGAGGATAGAAAAGGTTTTCTCTTTTGATGCAACAAACCAGTATTATTTTGACAWTTCTTCTGCATCATGATTATAAAGTGATTTAAACAACAATTATCAGGTCCCTGTAGGAGACAGCAGGCTGCAAACCTCTCCATCTGAAGATGAGTAGCGCAGACAGAGGGGAGYAGCTGCTGGTGTATTTCTGTCATCCTTGTGTTTTCCAGACTTACCACAACATCCAGTCAGCTCCGCTTCTCCTCATTCTTCCATTGTGCATYCACATGTTTTATTTGAGCTTTAGCTTGAGCTGCGTCCTTCTCTTCAGCCTCCGACAGCTGCTGCATGAAGAGTCGGAGGGTTTGTAAATCGGTGACATGTTTTGAACTACGTCTTGCATTATTTATGGGAGTTTGGACGTTAAAGACACTGTTAAATCAYGTCATCAGGCTGTAAATTTAATACGATGCAAGGAGGTTGAGTCGTCAACGTGGTGGGTTGGGTATATGTTGAAATGTGCTACACTTTCTGCAGTTCTCCTCATAAACCAGGGGTCTGCAACCTGCGGCTCTGGGGCCACATGTGGCTCTTTGGTCCCTCTGCAGTGGCTCTTTGAAAATGTGGCCAAACATAACAGCATATTTTTTTTGTTGTTGTTTTTTATACTCACAACAGAAATCCATTTGCATGCAAATATGTGATCAATACTACTAACACAAAAAGTAAAACATGTTAGCTCATGCTATCCTGTTGTTTTTTGTATAACTAATAGCTAGCCTGTTGTTTACTTAAATATTAATGAAATTTGGTATAAACCACATGTGGTATTTTTCTTGTTTACACGAACATGGTATTTTTATTTGTCTTTATATGCATAATAGTAAATAATATAACAATAATAGCCCTGTGATGGACTTGCGACCTGTCCAGGTGTACCCTGCCCCTCGCACTGTGACTGCTGGAAATGGGCGCCAGTGACCCACGCAACCCTGAAAAGGAAGAAGCGTGTACAGAAAATGGATGGATGGATAACAATAATAACATTTTTTTAGTTTTATAATGTCACCTCCACTGACCATAAAGGTCCCCGGAAAGGCCTTGAAAAGGCCCATGGACCACCAGTTGATAATCACAGTTGTAGCTTGTTTTGTGGCTCTGGACACATTTTATCAGTGAGACAAGAAGCACAATTGGCTTTTGTGATTGTAAAGGTTGCAGACCCCTGTCATAAACAGTAGGCATCACTAGGAGAGATGGGCAGTGACTTTGGATTTCTCATTTTAAAACAGGCAAATTCACAAACCTAATGCGATTGTAACTGTCTTATTTATGTGCTTGTTTTTTCACATTGGCACATGGTAAGGATGCGTCAAGTTTCCTGGCGGTCTTTTTCTGTGACACAACATCTACCCCTCCACAACAATACAGTTATTATTTTGGATACCCTGATATAGCTCATAACCAAAAATCTGCCCAACTCTAGTCTGCATAATATTAAATCATTTTTAATAAGTTCTTTCCAAGATTTGAGGCCAGTTGTGGCGCCGYGAGAAGTTTCTTGAAAAACACCATAACGAGGCTCCTCCATAGCTGGTAAAACTTTTCTACCCACGGGCAAAATCTGATAAATCAGGGTGTGTGAAGAAACCAGATAGCTGATAACACATCTCTTCCTCTGATCCAATTATACAGTGCAGAGCATTTACTTTAAGCCTGTTAATTAAAGACTCGTCAGGCAGGACCGGGGCCTTAATCCTTTCGTATCACCTATCTAAGACCATTTTAGAAAAAAACAGCAAAATGATATGAGAAGAAAAGATTGCCCTAGGGCACCATCAGACCTGTGTCTGCACAGCCACATGAGCTGATTTGTGCACCCTCTTGTCCCTTAACAAACATAAAAAATGAGGTCTGTGATTGTTAAAAATATTAARYTAAACTAAATAAATAAACCTAACGGTTAGCTGTAAAAACTGTCCTCTGCATGACCCTTTTTATCTTTCAGCCTATCCCCGTGCCTCTTCAGTTCCTTTGTGCAATAAACAAAGAACAGAGGAAGATGATACAAATCAAATAACAGGCCTGGTGAGGTGGATAAACAGTTGTTCTAGGTGAGGTCAGYGACTTTAATTTTCAGCTCTCACACACTCGCTTTACCGTCCAGATGGTTACATAATCCATGTAGGTCTCAGTATCTTTGGATCGGAGCCTCATATTCATGTCACATAATCTCTTGATCATCTTCCCGATGCAAGACTGGAATCACGTGAGCTGYTGTGCTCTCTGGTCCTCTGACAATGATTGAGCTGTTCTAATACGTTCCACAATATGTCTGGAGCAGATGGGGAGCGTATTTTATTATTTCTTAATATTCCAGTTTCCTGGGAGAGCCRGAGCGTTAAATGAGAAAGTGGAGTGAATGATTAGGAGCAAACTCATTAGACACTTCAGAGCTTTGATATAAGCTCTGTAGGGCTTTTCCGATGACTTCTTTTTTCTGTGACTAAAGCAATGCTTCTCACAGAAGTGGTCATTCGCATGCGGGTGCTTGGTTTTAAAGCCACTCAGAGTAATCTTGATAATGCAACGTTCATAATCGCAAAAAAGGCTTGTTTAACAACCAGCCTCTGCCAACTTTCATACTTAAAATACTGGTTGTATCCTGCATCAGCACTGAGATGTGGGCACGTTTTTATTTCAACTTGCCAAAACAGCAAGAAGAAAATAAGGCTTTGGTCATAAAATCCCCCACTGACAGCTGGATGACAATATTTCAACAATAAGAAAAGACGATGTTGACTAAAAGCATCCACTTTGTCAGAAACACTGTAGTTTACTCTGTCATGTCAGATGATTTGTTTTGCAGAAACATCAACAGCTTCACTTAGAAAGTGTTTTGGAAGGCACGGACTTTAGAATAAATTGCAGATTGCTGGATGATGCATTTGACAAGCAAAATTTAGAAACTTCCCAAGAAGACAAACCAAAGCCTTGCATGTGAAACAGCTGATTCTTTGTTGACCTCATGCTTCAGTTATAATGTTTGTTAACTGTTCCCTGCAGACCTGGGCCATAAATAAATTAAGCACACGATAACTTAAATTTAGATTAATAAATTGAAATAAGGTAGATCATTTTCATTTGTTTTTTCATGTCTCCTACTTTTGTACTCCTTAGTGTAGGACTCTGCGTCAGATATTTTCCAGGTGCGTGGTCTCATAACCTTTGTAGCATGAGAGCCCCGGGAACAAGCATTTAGCTAGAGGAACGCCATCTTTCAGCTGGCTACACCTCAGGACACAGTGCCAAACGTTCCCCGAGACTTATTTATTCTTTTACATTGCAAAAATTGTGTAAACTTTTGTAAACATTTGAAAGCAGCATGCAGGTGACTGCAAATATTTTATAAAGCCAGAGGAAGACACTTAAAGAATAAATAGTTCTGGCTTGAATAGAGGTAGGTAGTGATGTTGCATCTTCAGCAGCTGTTGTGTTGTTTTCATCATTTTATTTATTTTGAAGTGATATTTTGTAACTAAGGCAACACACAGTCACAGTTTGATGCAAGGACAAAAATGCTGATGTTAAAAAAACATATTTGGTTATGAATATAGCTACAATTACTTTTTAAGAAAAAAATTATTGTAATGAACTTAAAATTGATAATCTGGGCTTGGATGAATTTAGCCTGGTGAAAAACAGATCCTTGTCCTTCACTTTGCTTCATTCGAGGGTCTGGACTCTCTGCTATAGAGAAGTGATTCTTGCTGGAGGCGTGGCCTCTGCTGAAGTTTAAAATGATTGGATTKGTTGGCCACGATGTATGTGTGCCAGCTCCACTGTGAAGGAGGCGAAGTTAAGAAGCTAACCGGAACTTGCGTGCACTGTAAACAACCCTACTGAGAGGAGAGAAGTACGAGGCGTCTGTAAATGAGAGCTGCTGCTTTGTCAGACAAATTTATTTTAATTAGGAAGCCTTAACACGGACTGGCTTCATTCACTTCCTCCACTGCCGTATGCTAAACTCACCATAGATGTAAAAGCATATGAAACTAACTAGCTGACACAGCACAGAAAAYCAATGTTCTGTTCTCTGATTGGCCCAGATGAAATGCTCCTGAAGAAATCCTTGTCCATGGGAGAAATCCCAGACAGAGCAGTGAAGGGAAACTAGAATTGAGTGGAACTGCATAGAAAGGCAAGGGCCAGGCTAGGAAATCGAGGAATTGTTACATCTCTAAATAATTAAACATTTAACTATTTGATATTAAAAATATCAGGCTTCTATATTTTTTTATTTTACTTTTAGTCTCATGTTGTGTTGTGTTGCACTTAAGTACACAAAACACACGTGGTGTAGATTAGATTTTACTCAGCTTCACAGAGTATACTTAGATCTTTTTTCTGTTATTGATGAGTTTAAATATTTCTAAGTCAAAGTCAAACAAACACCTCTTGCATTCCTTTTAAACAGCAAACAATGGTTATTCAAAATTCATTGCAAATATGTTAAACATTCAATGTTTTGTCACGTTAAATTGTCACGAAAGGTTGCTTTCGTTATGCTGCTTTGGTATTTTTTGCACTTCTGGTTCAGAAACATCACTTCTGTGCTGGATAAAATGGATAAATTCAATGTATTTATATTTTTGCCAAACTACAAAGCATTTTTATAAAACCACTGTTCATGGTTGATGAAATGTAAACATATCTTGAGTTGTTTGATGCTTACTGCGTATACCTTTTTGTATTGCACAAGTTCTTCAAAATCCACAGAGTTGATTCTCTTGGTAGGTAAGCATTTTAACAGCAAGATTTGACTTGTTAGTCATGGAGGCTGTCAGTCGTTTTCTTTTTTTTATCTTTTTTTTTTTGTCCACTGGAGGAAAATCAAAGACAGCTTTTCCTCTGTGAGTCTCAGCATAATGACATAACCYTCGATCCACAGACCCTGAAGAGAGTAACTAAAGTAGGGCAGGATTTAAAAGCCCCGATTTTCAGCTCTCTTAAGTCAAAGATCAGATTTACTCAAGATTTGCTTCTCTGAATCTTATTTTWTTTTCCATAATAGGGAATAGTGTCAGCTCAGGTCTTAGATCAGTGGTACAAAGAAGGAGCAAGCAGAGGTCTTAAAGCTGGCTGGGTTTTGAACCCACAGTCCAGATGTATTCTTTAAGGCATTATAATAAATCAGATTAAAGGAAAAGCATCAGGATTTTTTTTCTTAAGTAGAGACAATTTCCATAAAAAGCTCCACCTACAGTAGTCTACTGGAAACTCCCCAAACTATCAGTGCAATCTCCTTAAAGGAACAATAAAAAACTGAACCTTGGTTTATCTTCCAACCCAGAACACCCTGATGTCTGGTATAAAGGGGGAACAGGGGCATTGCAGTTAMTGCATATCCAAGCTGGCTGCAGAGCTGGTCCCAAACTGATCCAGTAAAAATGGCAGAAGAAGCTGCTGTTCCAGGAATTGATGCTAGCTGGTTTTGTGGAATAGAAAGTTTAACTTCTTTTGTTGGGTCACAGTGAGCAAAAGGTGAACAGCAGTGGCTTCAGGAGAATTCCTATTTTTGCTGCTGTGTTAAAAGGTCAATTGACTCAAGATAAAATAACTCGTCCTGCGAAGACTGCACAGCATCGTGACGTTAGTGTGACTAAGGCCTCTTTCAGAATGAGCTGTAATTCAACTACTATTAAAAACATATTCATTTAAAGGGACATCATTTTATTTCCATTTTTTACAGCAGCTTGTTCATGTCTCCAGTATGTTTACTGCAAGGTGCTGCATTATATTTTTGTAAGATTAAAACTCAACCAGTTTTTCATCTGCACAAGGACAAACTGTTCCATCTTATTTTTAGAGTTTGCCCTAAYATATTTTGAGCCGTAACACCCCAACTCTAGTTTATCTTAAGTGCCTCTTGGCTTTAAGATTCTACTTTTCTGTGCGTGATCAATGCTCTGATTATGCTCTGCCTTCTTATGCTGCCTGCATCATCTTCAGTCCTTTCTTCCTCGCTTCAGATATTCGTTTGCACTCCACAATTTTTGTTCTTCTCATTCCATCTTTACCTCAAACACCATTTTTTGTTTTACTATTTTTTCCTGTAAAACCTGCCTTTAATAACTGCTGACAAGTTTATCTACCAGCAGTCTGACTTTTGTTTTTGCTGCTTCCTGCTCCGTTTTGCTCATTATATTGTCTACCTTCATACAAATCATTTTCCYTCCCCGCTGTCACTTATTAGAACTGCTCATCCAAAACGTCTATTTACCTGTCCCACCCAATAAATRTGTCTATCTGTTTTCCTCTTATTTTCCTATRTTCTTTCCTTCCCCTGTGTTGCAGGATATTCGTGGTGGGAGTAGGTTTCTTCAGTCTGTGTTTTCTAATGACCTCTCTGGGGGGGCAGTTCTCAGCCAAGAGACTGGGGGACTCCCCTTTCACCATCCGCACAGAAGGTAATGACATGAGGTGTGTGTGTGTGTGTGTGTGTGTGTGTGTGTGGGGGGGGGGGTGGATTTATTTCACTGAAGAAAAACGCTGCACAAGTGTCACTGCATATTGTGAGGGTATATCTCACATAGCTCTGCTGGTTCTATATAACTGTGTGAAAACTGATTGAAATGAGATTAGCATCCCTGAAAGTACTGCATATTGTTTACCTTGTATTTCATAGTGTTACACACAAAATCTTGTGATCTTGGAGATGACTATCAGCTAGCACACATTTGAGCTCAGAATCCGTAAAACTGACTGATTTCTGTTAATGAATAGATAGTTAAATTGATTGATCAATGACTGGATAAATAATGGATTAGCTTGCTGAATGGATAATGAATTAATGAATAGATGGATGATGGTTAATGAATAAAGATTAATGGATGGATGGGAAGTAGGCTTGCATAGTATGCCTCAGTATGGAAATATGGTGACAGTATGTTGATCATGTTTGGTGATGCACCAAATTTCCACCAGACTGCTATGAAAACTGGGACATAAACATTTAAGCTGTTTCAGAAGATGCCCCATAAAGCTTCTGACCACCTCAGTTTATTCAGCAGACAAACGAAGGCAATGAAGAGGGGAAAAATACACCTCCGTCGGTCGCACATCTTAACCTCTGTGCAAGATAGTGGCAGAAATATTGGTGGGCCAGCAAGTGCTGACTGACACCTTCAGGGACCACCAAGCTGTGGATTTCTTATTCAAACCACCGTCGCTTGACTCCTTTCAGATTTAATCTTTTAGTGACTGGTTAAAAGTATGCAGCATTGTGGACACAACCATTGTAAGAGTCAGATTGTTTTGAAACTTAAAACCCTAATAAATAAGGAGGCTACTTGGATGTATTTTGATCTTAGAGCCTTAGGTTCCTTCCAAAACAGAATTAAATTAGCTTAGATCATATTCAAAAGTCACTCATCAAAATTGTTGCTGTTTGTTGTTTTTTACTTTTGACATATTTAATGTGAAATTCAGTTTTAAACCTTTTTATTTTACAAAAGGATAACTTTATTAATGTGAGATTCTATGATTTACATAAAGAATGTTTTTTTGTTTTTGTTTTCTTGGTAAATAACTTTAAACACCTTGCAAAAATAATTTAAAGTTCTACTGAACCACAACTATTTGTCATGTTAGTGAAAGTGAAATAACAGCCATTATTGTTTTTTATTTCTAAAACTATTTATTTGTTAAATTATTTTCAGTCACTTTATAATTCCACACTGTTTAGGTT